TCATAGTTTATAAAGGTCACTGGGTCCCATCTATTAACTATGGAACAGTAAATTATATTCCAAAGCATTTTCCAAATTGCTCGAAGTTCACATTTCCTCGAAACTTCATCCTTCCTCATGGTTCTTTGTATGTTTTCTAAGACATCTGCGACACCTTGATACTGTCATCAATACCAAGATGCACTTCGACAAAACAGACATGACGTCATTACCGGAAACGACCAAAACAGCCGAAAAAAAATCAAGTAAATCTGCAGCATCKGCCAAAAAACCTTTAGCATTAGTGTCGAATTCAAAGAAGGAATGGAAAAGAAGTATTAAGGAGGCTGTTAATACTTATAAGAAAGCGAAGTTATATACGAGATTAGCTTAATTAGTGCGTCAATATATTAAGAACCGTTAAGAATTTTGTACCATAATTGGCTGTCGAATGGTCACGATGCGCAACTGAATTCTGGCATTTSAGCGGCGTTCACCTAGGACAATAGTCAACCTTTTCCGACAGCAAAGCGAAAACTTAAAGATGGACATAGAGTTTTACCGATACCCTGCCAACAACCACGCAGACAGATGATTAAAAYCCAAACACTCCAATACGATCAAAAAATCCGAAGGTTTGCCGAATATTCTAGTCTACCGAAGATTTGCCGAAAGTTTTTCAAGGCCTTTGCCATGTTTCATGAAGCGCACATTGAAGCGCAAATTGATTGATGGACAGCCCACATCAACTACCGAAAACCCCCCTTACCGTAATCTACTGAAAACCTTCCGAAAGCAACAATTAATCTTCCGAAAACCTTTCGACAACTAATGCACGATTCTCCYGAAGACCACCCGACAGCAAATATGGCACATAAATTCTTCACAGAGGTGGAGAATTTGGCAAAATATCCTTCCCTGTGTTATGTTAAGCCCTTGCGAAAATAATACAGTGAAATGGAGGATGAACAACGACAGGCATATGCAAATAAAACAGGAATGTCAGCATTTCATTTCCTTTTTTATCATCCTTCCCTCCATTTTACCGACAAGCAACACGCAAATTGTTCGAAGTATGAATAATAATGGAATATCCGACTTGGTTCTGTGAAAAAAAAAAAAGATTTCCCGACACAAAGCCGAAACTTCGCCGAAATTTCACCGAAAAAAATCAAGATTGCTTCGCAATTTATAAAGTAAAACAATAATGGTTAACGATAAAGAAAAGATGATAAGGACTAACAAAATAATATAACTGTTTGTTTGTGAAATAACGATACTTTTTTATGATGTATGTTCTGTACACTCTGCACAAGCTCCTTTGACCGCAAAGCACTACTGGGAAGGTTTTAGAAAATAAGCTAGATAAGATGCCTTTTGAACTATGCTTATGGCCTTGTTTATTTCGCTAAGTGTATTTTGAAGTCTTCGTATTTCCCATGYTTTTTGTAAGAATTGCCAGAAATGGTTTTATGGTACTCTCTTTTATAATATTTAAAAACGATTTCAAAACGAAAAATGTTATAAAACACTTACGTTAAACTTGCGTTAGCCTCGCGAGACGTAATAAACACAACTTAAAAACAAATTAAAGAAAGCTAGAAGTTGAGAAAGTTCATTGAGGRATTAACGCAAAACAAACTCCACGGAGAACATTTGAAGACCTAMTCGACGGTTTTACGTCGCTCACGCTAACGACAAGTCTCTATACCTACGCAAAGAATGAATTTTTACAAGTAAAGTAAATATTTATACGTCATTCAAGAGTTTTATGGAAACGCGAGTCTCTGCAAACAAATTAAAGTATGAAATGACGTCCAACGTCAAGGTAACGAATGCAAGTTTTCAACACATTGAGAAATGTCTTTTACGTCAAGTGTCTTACGGTAACGCAACTCTACGCAAAGTTTAATCTTTATTGTTTTCTTTTTGTTCTAATAAAATGAGAAATTGAAAAACTCGAATTGAAATGGTGCAAGTGATTACGGYTGATGACCGAGACTGTGCCTCTCCTGATGCGTTAAATAACGAGCGCCTGCACTCTATTAACACAGCGGTTAAGCACAACCTCTAGTAGTACCAAGGCCTCTCTCGTTCCAACAAAATATACATACCATTCCCGATAAAAAAAGGAATATCAACTAAAGGCATGCAGTTTTAATTTATCGAATACAGATATATAATATATCAAGCATGCATGYACATTACTTTGTCGATTCTTGGACAGAATTGATTGAAAAGAGAGACTAAGGTACGAACGATAATCGGTGCATTTAGAAATGTGCAAGTGCTTTAATTACTATAATTTGAATTTTTTTTTAGACGTGCTTAATTAGAATAAGAACGAGTGATCAAGAGAAATAGAAAATTTGTGACTAACATGATGATGAATCGAGCGTCAATGACGAGTCGTCGAGCTGTCAATCAATGTGACGGTTTCAAAACAGAAAACGATACACTCATGTTCATTTCATGCAAACATGAATTTCATTGGAACGATCGATCAAATTCATTTCATGATCAATTCAGTGTCCGAGGTCAATTAGAACAGTTCATCTAAGCAGATGACGTCCATTCGACGCTTCGATCGCGGCAGACTCCCAGGAAGGATATTCCATTAATCTTCAAGTCTCCGTAACGCGTAAGTCTGTCTAGCTAAACGTCATAGAACTCAAGTCCCTTACCCATTGGTTCCCGACCAGACGGTAGTTGTGGCAGTACCCGGGTCTTTTTCTGTCCCGGGCCATGTATCGGGGATGTACGACCTAGCGGGTACTGACCCGGTAAAGTGTGGTARCCATGGTGATGCATTACGGGTGACATACCAGGCGACATGCGCCCTTCAAGAGGGCGGCCAAGTCCTGGGTGTTGTTGAATGGATCTAAGCTGTAGCGGTTGCGTTCGGGTATGATCAGCGGCTGTATAAGGATAAGATGTGCCATGCGTTGTGGTCGTTGTGTGGTAACCAGAATATGCTTAGAGTTAAAGTTACAGTTGAGATTAGAGAAGAGGAAATGCCATGCACGGTTTATAGATTAATAAGAAAACATACAAAATCAATGTCGTCATTGTTTATTTTTAGCATTTACGTCCTTTTTTTTATTTGGTTTATATTTGTTTGTTTTTATGTTGATTGTTAACGACAATTTTAGACATGGTTAGTTATGACGTCAGTTAGTTGTCATGGTAACAAAGAGGGTACGTTTWMMAAARRWT